GGCAGAGTCAAGTGCTCTGATTCCAATTCTGCCTGAACAAAACCCTATAGGCGGGGCTGGGAACAGTAGCCTCAGCAACCTCCATTTATTCATATTCCTCAACAAGTTCCCTTTACTGGTAATCTGTAGTGGTTGTATGAAGTATTCTATTGAGAATTACAGGAGCCTATATGGTTGATAAGCAACATCTGCCATACTACGTAAGGGGCAATTAGGTACCAGGGTTTATAGAAGATTTAATTTAAAACGGTGATCTAACATCTTTGAGCACTTACTACAGGTCCATAAACTTTGACACGTCCGTCTCCTCTAACCCTCACCACTCTGAGAATTAGGTTACTATTCACAATTTATAGATGAAGAAACTATACATGTAAGAAGGATTCAAGGAAAGTAACTGTCCCAAACAACAAAGCTAAAATGGTGAAGGCTGGATTTGAACTTCACTCTATCTAGTTAAAGCACAAATAAATTAAGTATGGGTCAAAAATAAAGACCAAGACGTGAAGAGTTAAGGAAGGCTGAATACTGTCCCCAGGCTAAGAAACTCCTAGGACTGAGTCAGGCCAGGGACCAGCTCACTGTCCAGAGGGCGAGCACACTCTGAGGCCGCTGCAGCATGCACACTGAGGGCCCACACACCGTAACGCCTGCCTGCTGGCGAGAAAGACCACCTCGGTGCCTTGTACTGCTATTGTCATCTACTTGAACAGCGCAAAAGGTACATCTTGGCTGGGGGAGGTTGTGGGCGTACGTGGGTAAAACTGTAATATTTCCAGAGTACTTCGCCTGGCTTTAGTACATCTGCATATCAATAGGCGTTCAGAGGTGGAAAGAAGTACAGCTTTAGTGCATTTGCATCATTCCTCAGGGGTGGAGAGAAGTTCATCTCCATATCAATGGGTAATTACCTGGGCAGGGGAGCTTATCTGTCCCTGAAAGGTGAGGGGGAGGGCTGGTTTTGCTACTGCTGGAGCAGGAGAGAGAGATGGGCTGGACTGCAGTTTTGTAAGAAATAAACAGGTTTTAAACTTTATTTCTCCCTTTCACTGATTTCAGTTTTTAGAGGTATTTTGCCCCGGGATTTCCTCTCCCCGGACTTACAACGTAGAAGCAGGAGTAAGCTACTGTTCCTCAATTCTGAGCATTCAGTTCCCTGGGTCTTTCAACTCCTTTCACGAGCAGCTCTAGAGGGGGCTTCAGTGCTCAGGCTTTTTATAATCGCTGCTCCTCTGCCCACATGAAAAGACAGCTATTCACCCCTGCAGGCAGCAGTACTGGTTATAAGGCAGGCATTAGTCATCAGGAATTTTTCAAACAAACACTCCTGCTAGGGGCCAGTCTCCAAACAGTCACTTACGCAGCCCTCCTGCTTCCAGAACTGCCTAGCTTGCTCAGAGCCTGGCCAGACTTGCCTGCAGCCTCACCTCCCACTGCAGACTCTCTTGATAATCCTGAAACACATTCTGCACTTTTGGCCTCAGTAAATGTTTGGGACGGGGAGAGGGGGGATAAACCTTTAAGTTAAGCCTCACTACTGCCCTACCCCGTCACACCCAGAGAGTGCTACTCGGCACTGCTTCCAGACTCTCCACAGGTCCTGGGGTCCTGAGAAGCACTACGGATGAGAAGGCCAATCCCTCACTGGAGCCGGGACAGTCGCCCCCAGGCCCTAGCTGCAGCCTGGCACACACGTGATGACCAGAGAGGGTCTGTCTGGGGCTAGGAATGCCTCACCCTCTCGGCTCTGTCTGAGGAGGGCAGAAAAGCAACTGGCTCTGGACATATGTCCAAGTCAAAGGATTCAGGTCGATGAGGGGGAACCTGGATTATTATAAAGTGAATTTTAATCCATTGGGGTCTCTGGGTTATAATATGTCTGTGTTGAGGTCACCTTATAGAGAGAAAACTGCTTAGCTGTAACAATTACTGAGGGTCAATACTGAACTAGATGTTTCAGAGACACACAGAAAAACAAGACATTACTCTTACTCTTGAAGAGAAATTTGTGCAGATATTTCATTTTAAATCATAATTCTTCCCCTCCAACTTGAGTAATAACTAATTTTCCTCCTCTTTGTTTTAGGTCTACATTTTCTTTATCTTACTTCAACAAGGAAAAAGCAGTGAGTACCAGAGCAGAGCCCTGGCCTGAATGGAAAAGTTCACTAACCTCCTCCATGGCTCCAAGGGCTCCGCCCACAGGGCATCTGGCCCAAAGCTGCTCTACTTCAACACAATCAGGACCCAGCTCTCCCACTACGGCGGTCGGCCACCTTCAGCTGAATACAGGGAGGCACTGGATGACAGATGTCCGCTGAGAGTTAAACTAACCATGCCAGAGGGGTGCCTTGACAACTCCGCCAGCAATACTCTCACATGTAAAGGAAGAAATGGACAGGGGCAGGCCCACACTGCAGCTGGTGCCCAAGGCTGTCCTGGGGAAACTCACCCATGGGTTGTGAACAAAAGACGTCACTAGAGATGTGCTGTGTGTGGGGACAGACGGCGCCTCACCATGGCCTGGATGAAGTATCACTCAAAACCATCCCCTCCCTTTCTCTACCTCCACATTAATCAAGGAACGTTTTGATTAATTGGGGACCCAGGTAATGATAAGGAAAATGACTCCTTTCCTGACTTACAAGCTAAGATGAACACAAAAAAGAACGACTGCTCTAAAGAACAAGCACATTCCATGACCTGACCGGAAAGGTTACACTTCCACAGGCTCCGTCTTCTGCTGTTTCCTGAGATAGTCATAGGTTCCTCCTAAGTTATTATGCAGTTTTTTCCTGGAACATCCATGCAACATTAAACCAAAGTTCCCAGTAAGGAGATTTCATCTAGAAAGCATGTAAAATAGAATATATTTACTGTGGGAAATTACACTGGTTCACTGAAATTTGTTCAGGACTTTCAGTTCTTGACAGGGACCCCACCCCCCAACCCCAAGATCTAGTTTCTCTGTTAGCTGCGCAGGCAAAATAAAAACGTAGTTTCTATCAGGTTTAACCCAAATGCAGCACGCAGTCCCTCTTCTACACTATGCCTGCATTGGCTCCCAATCTGGTCTTCACGTAATAAATAGCAAGGCAACATTCTCCACTGAAAACTGGATGTTACTTCTTTCCCTAAAAGCCTTCAATAATGACTATGATGGCAGCTATTAAGCACTTGGTACCCATCACTTCTGAAGTACTTCGGATACAGTAATTCACTTAGTACTAAACCTAGTGAAGCCATGTAACTCTAGGGCCCCAGAGCTTACATATTATACCTACTTCAGGGACGGGTTTGGGCTCTGACTCTTTTCAAAGGAAAGGTCCATGATGAACTGCCTTCTTTTGCTACACACTACCCAGTACAAACTTTAAAATGCACATTCTTATATTCTTGTATTTAATCCTCTTAATGACCTACCAGGAACCATTATTACAAATGAGGAAGCTGCCCAGCTCCTAAGCCATCTGGCCAGGGAGGCACAGAACCCAGCACTGGGGCCTGCCAGGGAAGCAGGTCTGCCTAGGGGCAGTCTCTGCTCCTCCCACGGATCCACACGTCCCCCTTCCTCGCATCCCCACCCACTGCCCCACACAGTACTCTGCACACATCAAAACCAGAAAAGCAGACCCAACAGATGGTACGGACCGTCTGCAGTCAGAACTGAGGGGCTTGACGGTAGGGAGAGCAAGATCCTGCGAAGCAAACCTTTGAAAGCAGCAGAACGGGTTTAGAAGTGGCTAGAGGACCCAGCAGCACCAACGCACACCAGTTACTAGAGAGACCTACTCACGCATAATGGCGGAAGAAATGCATACTTAACGTGTGCCTGTTAGGAACCAGAAGCCCAGAAGTGCTGGCGGGTGACTTACAATGTGGCAGCAGTTGTAGTGGATATGCGTGCAGGGGGTTGCATGGGGGATACATGTCACCTAGCAAGATGTAAAGTACCTTATTCTCTGGCCACAGGCAGACCGAGATGTTAATAAACATCTGCTGCGTGACAGGCTGAGAAAACATCTTTGCAGCCTGATTGTTTACAAAAACACTGAGCTAACAACGTGTGCTGGAAGACTATTGGCCAAGTTCCCACTTATTCATACGGGTGAACAAGGGCTCAGAAAAGCTGGAAATGACCAATTTTAAGGGTCGTAAATAAGTTTGAAGAATATAATTGCAAATCACCTCCTCACCCAGATCCAGAACTTCTCGGTAGTCTTCTCGGTACTGAGCTACAACCAAGGTCTACCCTCCAGCCGGTCCCACCTGTTTTCCCGCCCTGCCCGAGGCCAAGTCTGCCAGCTGTCAGGGTGCGCTCAGCCCCGGCTCAGCCCTCCGTGGCCTCGGGCAGGTCACTCTATCCCTCCCTGCCTCAAGCTCCCCACCTGTAAAATGGGCTAAACACAGCTGGCCGGTAAGACTGCGCAGAGAAAATGAAACGGTACGCACACAAATCGCTTGGCGAACTTAAAACGCCGCACGAAGCGAGGCCAGTGTCACCACCGGCGGCCCTGAGAAGGAACCGGGAGCGGGGTTTGGAAATTACAGGTCTGGGTCTCAGCTTCGGCAGTAACAGATCGGCAGAGTCGAGCAAGTCACTTCCCCGCTAAACTTCAGTCCTGACTCAGGCCGCACGGAGAAAGGGGCGGCGGGCCCAAGGGCCAGGCTACCGGGGGAGGAGCCGCGCCGAGGAGACCTCCGGCCCTGGGCGGCAGCGCCGCTCCCCGGGCCGCTCCCGCCGGCCCGGCGCCCCGGGCCCGCCGCCGGCAGCGGCCCTGCCAGCCTCCGCAGCCCGCCGGAGCGACGGCGCCTCCAGCCACTGGGAGGCCGGGCGGCCGGGCCCGCGGCGGCGGCGGCGGCCGGGCCAATGAGGAGCGCTGCTGAGGCAGGGGGCGGGAGCAGACGGCCCTCCGCGTCCCTCCGGGGCCGCTCCCTCCTCCGCCCCGACCCCGCTAGGCCGTGAGCCCTAAACCCCGAGAAGAGAAAAGGCCGCTCACCGCCCCTTCGTCGCAGCCCCGCGCTTCCGGATGAGCTCGTCCAGGGAGATGTCCGCCATCTTGCACCGCCGAGACAGCCGTTAGTACGGTAGGCTCCTTCAGCCCTCGAGCCCGCCCCTTCGGCCGTTACGGAGCTACAGGGCACTTCCGGCGTTCGGCCGACGAACTCTCGCGACAGCTCAAACCAGGCAAGGACAGGAAGGGGCGGGAAGCTTCCCGTGAGCCTTCGCGAAGAGGGCTGCATATCTGCATACAGCGGGTGTGTTCCCTACCGTACCCTCTTCCTCCGGGCGAACAAATAAAATGAAAAGAGACATAAAAATTAACTGAAGAGTAGGGCAAACTTTAAGGGCACGGGACTTTCAGCTGAAAGGTCAACTTTTTAGTCACCGGAGGGGAAAAGAGAATGGAACTCATTACCTAAGAAGAAACAATACTTACCTTTCATGCCTTAAACTTATGAGTAAGGAAAATAACGATTCGGGGTGACGCCCGAATCCTCACTACTAATGTGAGACGAATTTTTGAGCGGGTAAAGGTTGTCCCTAAGGTGACCCGCCTACTTTGCGGGATGCCTGGGTGTCACGATCTGCCCGTCTTTCTGTTCTACAAGAGCAGAGTGACTTTAGAATACCTGCGATGAAAATTGTATTTAATAGTTGGGCTGGGGTATCCCCGAGCCGTGTTCTTGTACTATTGTGTTTGTAGATGACTAATGATTGTCGATCATCTGTGCAGGTGTCTGTAGATTTCAGGCGGGGGTCTCGGGCCGCTTCTCTGAAACTTCCCCTTGAAACTACGGTGTGGGGCTTGTCGCCTATTTGTGATTGAGAAGTGATAATAGGTGGGGGGCAGAGTTGGCGGATTGCCTGGGTCACGTCCCACGGGCCGCTTTAGTTGCATAACCTTCGGGAGCAAATCCCTTCACTTCATACCTGTCGTGGTTTGTAAAAGGGGACACATAACAGGCCGTTGCGAGGGTTGAGGTCCAAGCCTTTCAAGTGTTCCACACCTGGAGTTGCCTTTTCATTGGTGCAACCCCAACCTTCAGCACTAAAGTTTCCATACATTTTTGCCAAATCAATGAAAAAATACATGGAAAGTCTTTACAGCGCTGAACATGGACTACGTGCTCTTACTATTATTTATTTTTTTCTAAGTCCAACAATGCGAGTGGAGTCATGTACTCTTAACATCACAGTGCAATTAAAAATCTGGCATCAAAAGCTCCGTGGAGAAAACGTACAATATCTGGAAGAGCCAGAGTTTGGGACTGGGCACTGAAAGAGGGGAGCCCAGGTCCCAACTGCGCAGCCGTGATTGGGTGCTGGCTGACTTCTTTTTCTCAGCTGAGACGGGACCACTAACCCCTCCCTCCCAGAACAATGGGGAGGAACGCGAGACCAGGCCGGAGGAGGGGAAGGAGGGCCGGGTTCAACCTTAGCCCCAGGCCACCTGGACCAGTGGAAGGCAGGTGCCAGAGGAATCAGGAGGGAGCCAGGAGTTGTTGCACCTTAAGTGCGATGTAAAGAAGCCATTAAATCACACTTTAAACCAATACAATAGGGCCAATAAGATCAACTACTTCTGGGGTCACAGCAAGGATGGGGGTTTTGTGGGCTTGTGTTTGGTTTTCAGGGGATCCAGGGCGCCAGTCAGAAGGAGGTGGGGTCTGGAATCAGGAGGCCCTGAGGGCTTGGGGAACCTCCCAACACCTAGAGATTTCCGGAGCAGAGAGGCCCATTAGGATTCTCTGAGCCAGGGCTTCACTCCATTTCTTGCATCAACAGATAGGACTTTCTCCCAGTGTAAAAAACAAAGTTGCCGGCAATGCGGTGTGCAGTAGTCAGAGGAATTGGGTCCCCCTTTATTTGGAAATTGACCAAGAATTGTGCCCTGGCTGGGAAAACCACACCCATCAGCAGAGACCAGAAGTATGGCTGCATTTGGGGCTGTGACAGTCCGCGGACCCCACATCTGGGCAAACCTCTACCACCCCTTCTGGGGAACATAGGTCAGCATTTACATGCTGAAATGTGCATCATTTTATAAATCCTTTCCTTTCGTGCCTTTATAATTGGAGCTTTGCACTGACTTCAAATTCTGTGTGTGGGTTGGTCATCATCCCTATGAATTGACTTCAGGAGAGTAAATGGGCTTTTACAAGGGTGTCAGTTCTGAGAGCATGGAGAATCACTGACCTAGTTTACTAACCCATCTTACAGATGGGGAAACTGAAATCAGGAGGGTAGGGGCCAGCTCCACTTCATGCCCTTCCTAGATCTAGGGAACATCATCTTGTGATCTCAGGCAGATATGAGTTTCAATCCCAACCCTAAGGCCTCTTTTTTCATCCTCCCGACAGGGACAGGAATGAGGAGACCTAATGTGTGACCAGTGCTGAGTCCCTAGCACACAGTAAGTGTGAAGAAAGAATTCCCAGGCCAAGTCCTTTCCTGCCCACTAAGGAGTCCCAGCCCTGCCTCAGGACGTGGGTCAGGGGCAGAATGGAAAGAGACAGAGAGAAAGGGCCTCAGGCATCCCTTCCTGTGAGCTTGCCCCATCCTCTCCTCCTCACTCCACTCCAGCCACACTGGCCTCCTCTATGTCCGTCATGCCACCCAGCAGATCTCTGCCCCAGAGTCTCTGCACTTGCTGGTCACACCTTCTGCTTCCTTTCCACTGTCCCCTCAGCCACCTGCCTTCTTTGACCTGTTTCTGCAAGTCTATTCCATAAGTCTGCTGCAACCAGAAGGCCTTTGCCCTGGCTGTTCCCAACGCCCTGAACACTGCCCCTGCAGGCAGCTCCTTCCTTGACATCCCAGCATTAAAGCACCTCCTTGGAGAGGACCCTCACTCCTGCCCTGTCTCCTCAAGTCTTTCATTTCTGTCCTGGAATTTACCATTTTACTGATGACATCATGTTACTTGTCTAGTGTTGGTCCCACTGGTGCCCCAGGAAAAAGGGCAGGAATGTCAGGCCAGCCGCAGCCGAGTCCCCAGCACCTGGAATAGCACATGAATGAATGGTGGATGAACCCCCTCAGCACCTTCTGCAGGGCAGAATGACACCCAGACCCTACCTCCAACCTGAAAGCCACTCACTGCCAAGTCTCAGTCTCTCCAGCAGAAAAGGGGGCTCATGACTTCTCCCTGCTTGTCTCAGGGCTATCCAGAGGAGAAAACAAAAAGGAAAACTCGGGGAACACATGGAATTACCCAAAGATAGGACTGGAGCCACCTTTAACACAGCTGATATACTCTGAATAAGGTTGGATGTGAGGGTCGGGTTTAAAAGCCGGATGGATCCCCAGTGTCCATCCTTCCATTCCAGGGCTGCTGGCCCAGGCTTCTGTCTCCAGGAACCTACTGGAAAAGAAATCATTTGAAAGGAGGGTGAAGATGGCCACTGTCATCTACAAAATCCACAGCTTGGAAACAGCCTGTCAGCCTGATAGGGGATTTATGGGATCATAGTAAGTCATGATCCCACGGGCCCTGGTGGGCGTGCCTGACACCAGTGGAACAAGCCCAGCCTTGTGGTGGTCGTGTAGCTTCATCAGTTATTGGCATTTGCCTCTGGATGTCTGGTATTTTGCTTCTTTGTGTTTAGTTTTCCGTACTTCCCAAACTTTCTACAGCAAACACAACACACATGGGGAGTACATGAGCGGCCCTGGTCTGTCCGCCTCCCACTGTCCTCTGACCACACAAGTCGCAGGGTCCCAAGGAGCTGCAGGTTTCATATTAGCACATTTTTATTTCAGTGGTTCTTCTACTCATAAATGATTCTGAAAAAGCCGATATGCAAGAGGCTAACCCACTGTTGTCTAAAGGCAACGTCAAGGCCACAGAGAATGTCACTCAGCCATCTCCCCCATGCTGCAGCGCAGGCAGGCAGGGGGGACAGTTTGGGACAGAGCAATAAACATCATCTTAGCTCAGGGCTGGCGGCCCAGGAGCCCAGGGCTGCCGAGCTGACAGCGTGAGCTCCCAAAGCTGCCTGAGCATTTGGTGTGCTGCGGGCAAGGCCAGGGTTTCAGGAGGGCCCCTGTGCCAGCGGGAGGGGCCCTCAGCCACCTGTCTCCTCCCATTCGAGCCCTGGGGAGAGCCCAGCTCCCTGCGGCTAGGCCTCCCTGGTGTGGGGATAGCCTCCCACCCCACAGCCCTGGCCAAGAAGGTTTTTCGTTGTTACCCATCATGTAGTGTCAGCTACTGAGGCCTGGCCAACACCCTGAAGCAGGTAGTGAGGGGCAGCAGGCGAGGGTCCCCAGGTGGTGGCTGGGGATCCCTGGCAGCTGCAACTTTGGGCTGCTGTACATTTATTTTCAGACTGTGGTCTGCTCTGGGAGGAGTGGGCAGAGGATGGTGTTGAGGGCCGTGGCCCAGTAGTGTGTGGAGGGCAGGGGTGGGGGAGGGCCAGGGCCAGGGTCAGGCATCACTAGTAAGAACCGGTGAGGGCCAGACAGGACCCCTGAAGGTGGCCAGCAGAGCCCACCTCTAACAGAACTCTGCTCCCAAAGGGCCCCCGGGGGGGCCAGCCCAACGGGGTGACCACCCAGGCACAGGCAAGGCCAGCCGCAGCAGGAAGGTGGGGGTGGGGGGTGGGAGAGTGCTGTTAAAGACAAGGGCAGGGCGGGTGGGTGCACGAGGGTGGCAGGCAGGTGAGCAGCCAGCCCAGACATCAGAAGGTGAAGCAGCGCTCCTTGGGGTGGCCCACGCGGTCCAGGTTGGGCAGGCAGGCGTACTGGATCATGGGTGGCGGCCCACACATCAGCATCAGCGGCTCCTCTTCCGGAGACGGAAGGTGGTCCCGGATCATCTCCTCATTCACGAAGCCCTGGCTGTAGTCCCAGGCTGCAGGGCGGGAGGCCAGGTGAGTCCCAGGGCGGCCATGTGAGAGCCCGACAGCTGCCCGTCTGCCCAGCAGTCCCTTCCCCCGCTGAGAAAGCTTCTGCCCACTGGATCCCTCCCTCCAACAAAGCCTAAACATGAAGAGGCTGAGCCAGGGAATCCCTTGCCCTGATCCTCTGCCCCAGCCGGGTTCACCCAGAACAAAACAGCCAGGAAACAATTAACAGTGTAGCAATAAGCACATATACCATCATTAATTGCTTTAAATGTAAATGGACTAAACTCTCCAATAAAAAGACAGAGTGGCAGAACAGATAAAAAAAAAACAAGATCCATCTATGTGCTGCCTAAAAGAGAGTCACTTCAGATGCAAGGACACACACAGAAAGTAAGGGAAGGAAAAAGAGATTCCATGCAAACGGAAACTAAAAGAAAACTGGCATAAATGAGAGGCAAGGGCATCAGGTAATGATAGGGGGTAAACCCAACAAGGACATAACACTTGTGAATATTTACAAGCCCAACATAGGAGGATGGAATTAGTACAAAGCAAGTTTCAACAGACCTAAAAGGAAAAATAGCAGTACAAGAATGTAGGGGATTTCAATATCCCACTTACAGATGGACAGACCATCCAGACAGAAAAATCAATAAGGAAACATCAGCCTTAAAGGACATGTTAGACCAGATGGCCTTAACAGATACTTATAGGACATTCCATCCAAAAATAACAGAATACATATTCTTCTCAAGGCCACACCTCACACCTGTTGGAGCAGCGATTACCAGGAAGATAAGAAATAACAAGGGTTGGTGAGGATGTGGAGAGGAGAGAATCCTCATGCACGGTTGGTAGGCGTGTAAACTGGTGCAGCCACTGTGAGGACCATAGGGCGGTTCCTCAAAAAGCTACAAATAGAAATACCTTATGACCCAGCAGTCCCACTTTGGGGATTTATCCAAAGAAAATGAAAACACTAACTCAAAAAGGTATCTGCACCCCCATGTTCACAGCAGCACTGCTTACAGTAACCAAGATGTGGGAACAACCTAAGTGCCAGCGGTGGATGGGTGGACAACGATGTGGTACAGCTACACAAATGAATATTATTCAGCCATAAAAAAGAAGGAAATCTTGCCACGTGAGACAACATGGATGGAACTTGAGGGCACTGTGCTCAGTGATATAAGTAAGACACAGAAAGACACACACAGTATGATCTCACTTATACGTGGAATCAAAACAAAACACCAAAAACCCAAGCTCATGGATACAGAGAACAGACTTTTTGATGGTTGCCAGAGGCAGGGAGCAGGTGGGAGAGAAAAGGGTGGAGGGAATATAAATTTATTAATTTTTTAATTGCAATGGAACCAAAATGTATTTGGTAGTGTATGAAATGTGCGGGGCTTCTGTGGGCACCAGGGAAAGGGGTCCTGCCAGAGAAGGAGGCTCCCCTGAGCCCAGCCTACCATGTTAGAAACTGCACCCAGAGTGGAACCACACCATCGCCCACTTCCCCCCTTTTGATGCAGACGCGGGTACAAGATAATGCTCCTTTCTTTATGGTAAGAAAAAGAACTGCTCTGACTCCCAGAACAGAACGCCCCACGCCTACCTCCATGCCCGACCGCCATGCTTCAGCCTGGTCTCTAGCCACCTGCTCCCATGCCCTATAATTAACTGATCTGCCTGTTTCCTGTCATCCTCCCCCACGCTCACAGGGCCAGGCTGGTTTCATGACCTCTCAGAAGAGAGGGTCAGAGCAGGACCCTGTCTAGCTCAGAGGGGCTGGTGCAGGATGGCTGGTCCTCGGGACATGGCTGCCAGACCCCCAAATCCGCCCGGGCCTGGCTCTTGGCCAGGAGGCTCAGGACCTGATTCGGCCAACCCAGGAGGCTGACCTCTCTCAGCGATGGACCCAGGTGACCCGGCTCTCGAGATGCACATCAGCCCCTGGGGCCCCCTGCTCATTTCTGGGGAAGCTGAGTGCAGCACCTTACCACACCGTGGCTGAGTGCCAGGCAGCTGCGGGGCCTTGGGAGGAGTGGAGGTGAAGCAAGGGCAGGGCGGCAGGATGGCAGGATGTGAGACCACAGGCTGGTGCCCACATGCGTGCCTTGAAATGTCCAGGTTCCAATTCATGAATTTCCCATGAAAATGCAGGTCCCCAGTTTCTCTTTGGAAGTGGAAAGGCCTGGCCGACAGGGCTGAATTCCTGCACAGCCAGACCGCCTGCAGTTGAGAGGGACCTCCGGAAAGGGGCAGATGCTCTCCAATTTACCACATTCCCCACCATTCCCCATAATCTCCCCACCCTGAGGCCAAACATCACTGGAATCATCTACCAAGAAGCCTGAGCTGCTGCTTTTCTTTCAGCAAAGAAATTCAGTATTTCCTGTGCCCACGTGTCTTCCAAAAGCAGGAGAATGAAGAAGAGTTTAACTCCCAAAGCGCCATCATGTTTCAAGTTTAGGGCGTGGCCGTCATTCACCGCCTCTTACCCTGGCAAACAGCTTAACCCCCTGGACAGGTAGAATGAGGCTAACTGTTCACCCCCAGGGGCTGACTGATGGGACGAAATGGGTGTAAAGTGCCTTACAGGGTGCAAACTGCAGTTGTGCCCGCCGCCAGCACTGGCCCTGGAGCCCTTCCCCAGAGGGAGCCCCAGCGCGAGGGGAGAAGACGGGCCCTCTTGTTCAGCGAGGGCAGCGCAGCCAGGGGAAGGCCTGGGAAGCCCCAGCTCCGGTGTTCTCTAGCTGTGTGATGTGGGGCACGTACTCCCCCTCTGATCCCTTCCCCTCATCTGTGAGATGGGGTCATCCCACCTGTGTCACAGATGAGCCCTCCCTGGGCCTGCGCCCCCCACACCGTGCCGCCCTGGGTGGGGTGGTGCCCTCTCACCTTCGGGGGCCCTGTCCACTGTGTACCAGAGCTTGAAGCGTGCGGAATGCTCGTTCCTCAGCTCCTCCAGTTCTGGCCGCAGCAGGATATCCTTCTCGGTCTGCGGGAGGACAGGGCCCAGTGGTTGGGGGGGTGGAGGCAGCACTGCCCCTGGAGGCACTTGTTACCCAGACTTCGTCATCCCACCCCCAAGGAGCCTATCAAAGCTGCAGCTGAACAGGGTCACCACAAACGGAGTTTGCGGCGCTTGTTAACATGGGGAACCGTGCACAATACAGTGAGGGGCAGAGAAGGTGCAAAATGAGACACAGCACAGACAGAGGATTGGGAGGAGCTGCCAGAGCGGCCCAGTGATGGCCCCTGAGTGGTTATAACACTCAGAACAGCGAATACCTCAGTTCAAAGGAGGAGGGTGGCCCTTCCAGCTTCTCAGGTGGGACAGCCACCAATAAGGGGCTTTAGATGCTCCTCCCAAACACTTGGGCCCTCACATGCTGCCACCGGCCCATCAGTGCCCCGTTCTTCACCCCACCAGCCTCTCCTAGCCCACCCCCTGCCTGGTGTCACCTCTTGCAGGAAGCCTTCCTGGACACCACCCCCAGGAGGCATCAGCTGTCTGCTCTTTATATGGTCCCTCTCCCCGTTCCTGACTACAGGCCTTTGCCCTGTGCATGCAGGTAACCCATAGACAGGGCTCCCGGGCTGGGTGGTGGTGACTGGCCTCCTGGGACAGTTATGGCACCAGGGCCCCCAGCACGTCAACCAGAAGTCTCCCCGGCTCACAGGCTGCTGCTGGCACGTGGACTCAGGCAGACGGCCCTCCCCAGGGAGGCAGACACTGGGAATCCCTCAGAAGGGAGTCTCCTCTGCTCCCGTGCCTACCTCATGACACCACCGACCAAGGGCGCCTCCACTGGAGGGTGGCCAGGGGTGCAGGGAGGGCAGAAAGGATGGGTAGTTCCAAGTGTTAGAAGAAAAAAACTGCAGGCCCAACATGGGGTCACTCCTGCTGGGACAAGCCACCAACCAGGGCTCAACGCCCAACCTAACTGCACCCCAGCCTCCCCCAGAAATGTGGCCGGTCAGGATCCTCACTAGGCATGGATAAGATGACCAGTAACACTGTCCTCTCCATCCCCCACAGGAATCTCCCCAGTAATGTTGTCCCCAGGGAGAGGTGCACCCTCAAGTCACTGTTTCTCCTGTGACTTCCTCTCCTGCCTTTAAAAGCCTCCCCTTTCTGCAGCCCTGGCAGCATTTCTAGCTGGAGGGGTATTGCTGCTGATTCATGAAGCACTTAATGAGGCCAATTAGGTCTCCACATTTACTAGGCTAAATCTGCTTTTTAACAGAAGCCGCAGGATCACTATTTCCCAAGCTCCTGCTGCCAGTGTGGATGGCGCAACGCTCATGGCAGAACCGCGTGGGAGGCAGCACCATGCGGGACCCGCTCCACCTGCCGTAGGGGGCACAGGCCTCTGCCTGTCGTTTCTCCCATTTCTAAAGGGGGGCCGAGCCCTCCTGCCCTGATGGGTCAGGACAGGGACAAGACTCGGGTGTGATCTGGGTAAAAAATGCCCAGAATACGGCAGAAAAGAAAAATCACCTGAAACTCTGCAGAGATAACTACTGCCAGGACTTTGGTGTATCTTTCAGATAGTATTTTCTAGTAACTATTAATGACTATTTTATTAATAGTTACTAGAAAATAGTTTATAAGACTATTAATAAAATATTAATAAGAATATATATGTATATATATTTTTAAATAAAGGGGAATCAGAGCACACATGCCACCTGGCCACCTGCTGTGCTCAGGTAAGAACCTGCACAGACCACCCACGTGTCTCTGGTCTCTGGCCAAAGCTTTCCTCACCAGCTGCCCAGCCTGCCCTGCAGAGACCAGAGACCAGCTGGTCGCCACTGGAGGCCACTTAAGTGGTGTCGGACATCCTCCTTTATTAGCAGCGCCCCTCTATCTTCACTACTCTGCTGATCGATTCCTCCAGACAGATTTGAGGAAGTGGAGGTCACGGGAGAAAATTCCACCTGGTTAAGGCATTTGATACATGCCAATTTATTCCCCAGGTAGGTTAGCCCATTTCACGCGCCGACAGTGTGCCCACGTCCACCTTCCTACAGCTTCACAGCACTGGGGAGAATGATCATTTAACCTTTGCTAATCAGACCGATGGAAAGGAGATCTTTTTTATTTTTCATTATTAATAGAAAATAAATGTATCACTGGACCTAGCTGTATCTTTTCTTAGTTTACAAAAACTTATTGTATGAAGGATATTAATTTTTTAAGTTTTATAAATTTAAAACTTTATCCATTTCCCCCCATTATTTATCATTCTACCTTATTTACCGTGTTGTTTTTCCACAGGAGCTTGTCATTTTTAGGCAGATGATTTACCCTCTATGGGTTCTGCTTTGGTGTCTTGCTTAGATTGACCAGCTTCACTCGTTCACTCAACAATACTTGTAAAATGCTCACCTAGTACTTTTAAAGCTTTGCTACATAGCAACTCACCCAGCCCACCTTTTGTCTCTCCTTGAGTTTGAGGCATCATACAGCCTGGGTTTGTTCCTAGGCCAACACTGTCCAACCAAACTTTCTGCAGCGATGGGAATGTTCTACATCTGTGTTATCCCCTGGCCACACAGAGTTTCAACCCATGAAACATGGCTAGTCAGACCAGGGAAGTGAGTTCTTAATTGTATTTAATCGTAGGTAATTTAAATGTAAACTGGCACGTGTTCTAGCATGCTCCAGCGCAGTCTAGACTTTCCATTGTGTTACCCAAAAATGCAGTAGGCCCAGTAAGCCCGGGTCTCACAGGTGGCTCTAGACCATGCTGTTGTCATCACCGCGGCTCGTTAGCGTGTTTTAACGTCTAGTGCGCTGTTCCTCCTTGTTACTTGTCTTCCCCAAAGCTTTCTTGGCTGCACCTCCCGGGCCATTCTGTGTTGCTTTGTCATATGAAAGGGGGAAAATACCCCACTGGGCACCTGAGTGTTGCTTTATAAAGAAGTGACACCTTTACAGTATCAACCTCCCTGTCCAAGAACTAGGGGGACTTTATGTTTATTACATCCCACAATGCCCTTCGGAAAAGGGGCCTTTCCTTTAGGCCGAGGCGGCGTGCAGAGCCCTGAGCTTTCCTGGCCCCGAACGCCTCCTCAGCCCTGCTACCCCTGGTCACTCCACAAGAATGCACATCCCTAAAATGTTCAGTGTTCCTGTCCAAGGCAAGGTGTATCACACCTTAATCCTCACAACCACCCTAGGTGGGAACCCTGTCACCCCACATCACATATGAGGAGTGGAGGGGCTGCCACCCAGAGGGCAGGCAGTCAAAGCCAGGCACTGTGGTCGCTGAGGAAGGGCTGTGGTCACTGAGGAAGGATGGAGGGAGGTACAACACCTGCCTGGAGCAAAGCACAGATTCTCAGTAGGGCCTGCAGGCCTGAGGTCCACCCCATGAGGTCAAAATGATTTTTACATAATACTAAGGCCATTTCACATGCACTGAACTTCCAAGGCTATCAGACTTGTGATGCGGCCTAACCGACTGCAGAATCTGACCTGGAACCCAGCTGCTTCCATTAAGCCAGACACTACATAAGATAGCAAAAATGTAAAAAACAGTATTTTCTACAATACAGTTGTTTTTCATAAAATATGCTCTGCACCGAGTCCTGGTTCCACCAGGGTAGGTCAAGTCCCTCTCTGGGCCTCCATGTTCAGAGCTACCATACGGGGCAATTCCAGCACCCTGGCAACCAGGCTAACAGGCACACAAGTGCCCTGTACAGGTGGCAGAGGGCTGAGGATCTCCACAGGTCTAACCCAGCACTGCCAAGTTGGACCTCTGCCGGCCCTCAGACCCACCAGCCAGCTGGGAATTTCTGGTCTTCCCATCCTGGGGTCAACAGCACCCGAGTTGGCCTCAGGGCAGTATTTCCGCAGCTGTGTGGGAGTCCAGGGACTCAGCAAGCCCCTCCCCTCCGAGCTGGGTTCCTCACAGATGGACAGTGCACACCCCGGGACGGATGGACCTGGGGGCAAGCTGACCTGAACCAAACCGGGAGGCACAGGGCCCTGAGCCTGGGGAGGGGGAACTGGTGTCTTATCTTGGCCTCTTCCCAAAGCAGGGAGTCACTTTACATAATCCGCACTTTCAGTCATGAAACAATGAACCTGGAAGACCCTTGTAATGGCTTCGCTTCATCAGCTCATTCCACAGTGAGGGAGCAAAGCCCAGAGAGGGAGAGTGACTTGACAAAGCTACCCAGTAGGCCAGGGAGACAGGCAGCAGGTGTGGGGACGAGGATATGCACACAGGAGTCAGAGACACCAGGTCCCCACCCCGCTCCAACAGCCCGCTCAGACCCCATGCACGTCTCGGCACCTCTGAACATAGCCCATCTCCAGGCCGGCCCAGGCCAGGCCGGCACTCTTCCCACCAAACGCTGCTGGTGGAAGGGAGCTCTGAGGCTCAGAGGGAGAGCCTGGGAGCAAAGTTCAGAGTGGGGTGCTCCAGTGCCCCACTCCCACCCCGCAGCTGCTCAGGTCACACACTTTGGGCTCTGGACTGAAAAGCCTGGCCCCGCCAGCTGCCTGTGCACCCTCACATTTCAGCCACCCCGAGCATCTCCACGGAGCCAGGCCCCACATCCCTTCTCAGGAGGAGCTGGGTTTGCTATCTTGGGAATGCCCACCGACCTGGTTGGCAAAGAGCAGGTGGCACACGGTGTGGTCGTCCGGGTCCTTCATGATGGCCCGGATCACCTGCAGCATCGGGGTGATGCCTGCAAAACAGCAGCCCCCCCCACAGGCCAAGTGAGTGCCTGTTGCATACACAGGCCCTGTGCCAGGCAGGCGCCCAGGGGAGAGCTGTCCCCTGGGAGGAAACCAGGCATGGGCTCCTGACCATTTATCATCTGGGCCCTGTCCCCAGCCCTGACCCCCCAACCTCAACACCCGCCTGCCGGGGACTGAGTCAGGGGCTCCGGGTTCACATACCCGTTCCTCCGGCGATCATGCCCACACACTTCACCATCTTGATGACAGGACTGGACTTCTTATCTGGACGGATGGCAAACTTCCCTGGGGAGACAGATGCGGTGGGGCCCAGCTCTCAAACATACCAGGCCAGGGGCAGAGTGCCCGGAGAACCTCCCCCACTTCAGGGGTCTGAGGAGAGGGTGGCGCCCTACGACCCCAGCCAAGGCACGGGAGAGGACGTTAAGGGGGCACTATAAGGCCACCTCAAATGCCAAGAGAAGCACAAAGATGGCTTCCTCACTGTACATGGCGGGGGGAGCTGTGGAGACGCTGGAGAACTGATGACTCAACCCTCTTTCTTGTTTGCTTATAGCCAACAGCTCGTCCGGGGGCCAGATCCAGTCCCCAGGGGCAGCCAGTCTGCAACCCAGCACTGGCCAACTTGTCCCTGTTAGCTGGGGAACCTGAGGCTTGGGAGGGAAGAGGGCCTGCCCAACACAAGTCGCCCGTGCAGACAGCAGCAGAGTTGGGACCTGCACCCGGCATCCATTGTGCCTGCTGGGTCCTCAGGGGACTTCAACCCGAGTCACCTTTGCCCTGGTAGATCAGCAGCCCATTCGGGCCCCGGAAGTCGATGGTGTCTCCAATCTTCATGCTTTCCAGGTACTGGGACATCTTCCCTCCAGCGGGAAACTTGGGATGGGTGTTTTTGAAGTAAATCTACGAGACACACAGACAGTCGGTCCCCGTCCCAGGGGTGCTGGGCTAGGCTCTGGGCCAAGCGGGAAGGAAGTGCCTCTCCAGGGTTGTTCTGTGGCCTGTGTGGACTCATGTCGTGCTCCGTCCGCCCATTAAAATGTGCTGGGCAATGTCCCATCCCCCAGGACCTGCTCTCCGCCAGTGTCTCCCTGGAACAAAGCGTCAGCCTGGTGTAAAGGCCACTTGATGCATTAACATCGCCCCAAGCACCTTCTGGGACTCCCTCCCACCGGGAGGGCTCCACAGCTGTCGCCTGCAGAGGCTCCGGAAGTGGCCCAGCCACTCCCCTCCTAGGGACAGTCACGTCTTCCCATTTTGTGCTCTTGGAACGACTTCCTTCTGGGAGCCCTTTGGGCTTTCAGCTTCGGGAAAAGCAAGTGCTACGACCCTCGTACGGAGAGAAGGGGAGACAGAAGGAGGAGAAGCTCACCCCAGCCAGAGCCACTGCCCTGGGGGCATCTGCACTGGGCCTTGGAGGGCATGCAGGAGTGATGGCGTGCGGTGGGGGCAGGCAGGGGGCAGGGACAGTGTGTGCGAGGACCAGATGGCCTGGGGCCTCAGGGAGGGAGAAGAGCCTGAGGCGGTGGGGACACTGTGGGAAGGCCAGGCCTCTGACCTTCATCCAGAGCCGCGGAAGCCCACGGGGTCTCCAAGCCAGGAGGGGCCCAGCCACGGCGAACTCCTCCCCCTCTAACTGAAATCTCCCTACATGAGGCTGGAGTCATTGCAACGTGAATGGACGCTTGAACTCCTACCTCCTTTCCTTTGCCTTGGAACAAAGCTCTGCATCTTAGTAGGGCCTCCGAGGTGCCTCCTGGCCCCACTCACCTCCCCCAGTCTGAGCCCCCTTCTGACCGCAGGGCCTTTGCACCTGCAAGGTTGTTTTCCTCCCTCCCCGCCTTGTGGACACCTCCCCAGCCACTGATCTCACCGTGCTCCCCTCCTCCAACCCCACCAGCTCTGGTGCTGGTCCCAGGCGCTCAACCTCTGGAGCAAGCACTGACCCCTGTATACCACGTGCTCAGCATCCACTCTCCAGCCAAAGACAGGCAAGGCTGGGCCTGCGTACCCCGCATGGGGTCTAAATGACACTGCACTATGAAGGGGTCCAGGCCGGAGTCTGGACAAACCGGCCCTGCTCTCTTCCTGCCCTCACAGCCCCAGTGCCGACCACAGGCCCCTGAGGGGCTCAAGGCCTCGGCTGCAACGGGGGTCTCTGCCACTGTCCCTCCGCCCAAAAGGCCCCAGCGAGAGGGCCAGCACGGTAGTTAGGACAGTGACCGGGTGCCCTGCCAGGGTGGCCATGAGGGGTTGGGCCTCCAACACCCCACGCCTGTGAGTCATGTGACCTGAGAACATGGACAACTGCTGGGAAGCTTGTGCTCCTACTTCTCATAAAAATGTACCACGAGGCAGTTGTCATTTCTTCCCACTTGGCATGACATTGTTCTCGGTCTCTCTGGTCTTGCTTCTAAGGGCTGCATCTCCTCCACGGCATGACCCACCCCCTGACCTGGGACAGACCCAAAACCCCCCAGCCCCGCAGCTCCCCACACAAGGCCCCCCGAGCCCCCCATGCTGCTCCCCTAGGGGGCCTGCAGGATGTCTTCCAGTGGGGCACACTCAGGAAGGACCCGAAGAGACTGTGTGACTGACCGCAGCAGAGCGGCCACCCCGCCACAACACAGGCGCCTGCCTCCTGGGCTCTGCCAGCCCGAGTGGGCGAGTGGGCTCTGCACCAGCTGGTCGGCCTTCCTGGCTGCCCTTCTGCAGATGATCTGTCCTTGTTTGAAGACACTCAGCCTGACCCCAGCTCCTGCCCTCTGCCAAGACCCCACTCTTGGCTTTTGCTGGCAAACTACAAAAAAACTAAAGTTTGCTATTCACTCAGAAACCAGGCACAAGGGCGCACCAGGCTGTGGGGGCCCAGACCTGCGCTACAGTGTGGTCACCGCTGCCCCCAAGCAGTCGTGGCCCCAAGACCTCACCTTGATGACCAGGTCCACAAAGCCCTTGTCATCATCACTGGAGACGGGCGTGTAGGGCCGAATGACCAGGTTTCCATCGATTCGAGCCGAGAGGTAGATATGCTGGCCTGCGAGATGAGGAGGACTGATTCCAGGCCAGGGACTGTCCCTTCAGAGTCCACTGGGTCTGGTCAACCCTGTGCCCTGTGCCTCGCCCAGCAGTCAAACCCCGGCCTGGCCTTGGCTCCACTGCGCTTCCAGTCCCCTTGGGGGTCCCCCTCACACCCCAGCTTCCTGCTGCCTTCACTTGTGCCACTGCCAAGGGCCTTTTACCTCTCATTTTGAAACTCATCCCTGAAGGCCCAGGGTAGCTGCCACCTCCTCCTTGAAGCCTTCCCTGCTCTCCTCTGTGGAAATACAAAGCTCCCACCTCTCTGCTCTAGCACTTGGCTCTGTTCAGGCAAGGTCAGGGCCCCACTCACCGACGGGCAGGCCCAGGATGTGCTGGGGAGATGGCAGGGCGAACCGGAACCTCCGGGTGTCATGGCTGATGATCTGCAAAGAGGCCCGAGCTGGTAGGCGGCACCAGGGCAGAGGGGCCACCTGGCCTTAAGCACCCCCGCCAAGCATCATTGAGAGAGGTGACCCTGATGCCACCTACGGACCCACAAACCTGCACACATGTGTGTTCCTGCCCTGCTGGCTCAGAGAAGGGCAGTAACCTTCCCAGGGACACACAGCAAGGTGCTCAGAGCAGGGAGTGAACTCAGGATCCCAGAGGGAGGCTGCCAGATGGCCCAGAAAACTCCAGGGGCAGGAGAGAGCAATCTGCCTTTGCTGTCAGCTTGAACAGTGTCCTGGGGTGGCAGGAAGAGCTTGGGGACTGGGCTAGCAGCCTGGAGGCACAGCTGAGCCAAGGCCAGATATGCGCAGGCCTGGAACTCAGAGGGGCTCTAAAGCCACTGGGCTGAATGCCCCCTGTGAGGCCCACAGCCATGACAGCCGCTGGGCTGCCCAGGAGGTATCTGGGGCCGGCAGGGTGCAGAGCCCAAAGTCAGGCCTCCAGCCTGCACGGGGTGAGTGACTATGGCATGGGCAATGGGTGGAAAGGTGGCAGCCAGTTCCTCTCCAGGGCTGGATGCAGGTTGGTTAAGGGCCCGGCTGGGTGGAGGTAGGAGCTGGGGCGAAGGCCTCTGAATCCCCATTAATCAGCCTTAAACTGAGGCCAGGGAAGGCAAGTGTCCCACAGTAAGCTGTGGTCAGAGCTGGGAACTGAACCCAGTGCCCTGACTCCCGACCTGGGCTCCAGAGGCCCCTGTGGGGTCTCCCCTGCACCCAGTGCAGCCACGAGGGTGCGTATGGAGGGGCCATTTGGAGGGCAGGCAGCTGTCCAGCCCGTGTGCACACCCACACAGGCTAGGTGACATGGCAAGTCTGCTGATGGAGAGAGTCCATCACTCAGAGGTGGACAACTGCCTTCTGCAAAGGGGCAGAACCTCACTCTGGTGTCACTGAACTGTGTGAGCAGAGGCATGCCTGGGCCCCAGGAAAGACAGCGGCCGGCCAGCACTCAGGACACAGCGCTTGTGGGTGGCTGGCAGGCCTCTCTACCCCTGAAGCTGCCTTCCCCAGGAGCCTTTATGTTCTAGGAAAACGGAGCCCCAAGGTCTCCTGGCAGCAGATTACAGGCTTATCAACTGTCCTGGGGCTGATGGTCAGAACCCCACATGCTAGACAATTTTTGGAGGAAGGACAGAAATGAGGGAAAGACACCAATAATTGCGTTGGACCACCACTAGCCAGGCCCAGCAAAAGCCATGAGGCTAACATCTGTGCAGGGCTCAGCATGGTGCTGGCATCCAGGTCTGGAGGGTATGAACAGTAGACACTCAGAGCCCGAGAGGTCCTTGCAGATCACCCAGTCCAGGTCAGAGAAGGAAGGACAGGCAGCAGGGGCCCCTCTCTGTGCCTGTGATGTAGCACAGCCAAGTACCAAAAAGCAGGCCCACATGCTGACCCCTCAAAGCCCTCACCAGGCTGCAGTGGGGAGGGGGCAAAGATTTAACTGCTAGGACATTCCCACATGCTCAGTTAAAGGGAATTGGAGGTTCCACCATGTAACACCCCTACATGACGAAATATTAGACAGTTGTCAAAAATAATGAATCAGCTCTGGCTTAGAAAAGGTGCCCATGTGATACATCTGGGTAAAAAAGTCCACACACCACGTCTATACAAATGTGCGCCCAGGAAAGGTTCACGCTAACTCACATGTGCGACCCTTCAAAGGGAGGGTGAAGGAGGGTAAGAGGAACATTCACATTTCACAAACAATTTTTTATAGTGAATGCAACATAAATCATATACAACTTCTGGAATTAAAAACAACAATGCAAAAGCATTTTAAAAAGGGAAAAAATTTCAAAACATTATGATTTCATTTTAGTGAAAAAAGAAACGTGTACAAGACGTATTGAAAGGTAAGCACAGTCTCATCTGGGAAGGGTGGTTTTCTGTTTGTTTCTGCCTCTCTCTGGTTTTCAACTTTTCTATGAACTCCTGGAACAATTGCAGACACACATCTCATCCATCACAGGGAGACCCAGCTCTGCTGGGGAGACTTGGGCCTGGAGTGGACCCTGGGACCCAGAGTTCGGGGCCTTGGCAGGTGACTTTCTCTGCTCCATGACTCAGTTTTCCCTGTCACACCCTTCCTGAGGCAGCTATGGTGGCCAGAAATAGCACAGGGAGGGCCTCTGACAGGGAGAGAAAGGAGGGAAGCAGCCGGCACAGGGCACAGGGCACAGGAGGGGAGGCTCGCTTGAGGTCACCGCCCAGGGGTTTGAAGAGGAAAAGCATCAGGCGGAGCAAGCCTCTGGCAGGGGCAGATGGAGCCCCAGGTCCTGAGATCCTGCGGGCCGAGGAGCTGACCCTGGGGGGTGGGGAGGGGCCTTCGTCAACACGGCCCTAGGCTGGGGACCACCTGGGGCCACCAGCAGGCCTGGGCCGAGGCCGAGTCTACCCCTGACTCGCAGTGCGACCTAGAATATACCTCCTGCTCTTCTCTTACTCTGTTTTCCCATCTGTTAAATGGGTGCTTGGGGTCCCCCCGGCGCTAACCTTCAGTGGGATAGTGAGTGTGGTGCAGAGAATGGGCTCTGTGGTCAGACGCTTGGGTTTGAATTCCGCTGCCACTTACTGGTAGCCTTAGAAAGGAACATCACCTCGCTTTCCCTATCTGTAAAATGGGCTGATAACAGGACCTACTTCAGAGGGGGGTCATGCCCTGAGCATGCAGGAGGTGCCTGGGAAATGCTGCGACACTGACCAGGAGAGAGGAACCTCCATGGTTCCCTGGCCTGTTCCCCCCCACAGGGCCCCAGCACTCACCTCCTTGTCAATGAGCCGTAGTGGGTACTTGATGTCCGGGCTCTCAAGGGTGATGGCTGGGGTGGAGCGCTGGAACAGCTTCATGATCAGACTATAGAGGAACCAGACTGGGGAGAGGACCACGTGGCCCAGCTGCAACGACAGGGACAGACCCACAGGTCAGTGAGGGCTAAGGGAGGGGCCTGCCTCCTGCCCTTCCCACAAACACACCAATTGGTTCACTCCTCCAAGCCACCACTCACACTGTCTCCTCTACTGGGAACACCCTCTCCCCACTATTCCCTCTCATCCAAGGAACTGAGCATCCATTTAGATGCCATCTGGGAGAATTTACAAAAACCAGACTCATGAAACGTATCACTGTATTACTGAGTCATTGGAAAAGCTCCATTTCCCCTTTCCTGGACAAAGAAAGTTACATAATTAAGTACATATCACTTTTCACTTTGGCTGCCAGGAAGCTCAGAGTAAAGTTCACAAGTACCTGTGCTTAATCTTTTTTTTTTTTTGGAGAGAGATCTCTTTTATTTGCAACTGAATGCAATTCCCAACTGACATAATAAGTGTATTATTCTCATTTTACTATCCCACAGATGTGAAAACAGAGGCTTAGACAGTTAGGGCACTTGCCCATGTGATATGGCAGGATGGGGTGTAGTTTTTTGTTCTGGTATCAGACTGCTTGAGTTCAAATTTTGGGTTTGGTTTATATGACCTTGGTCAACCTAATCTCACTGAGCCATAGTTTTCCCATCTGTAAAACAGAAATAACAGAACATTAGCTTCTTACATGATGAGCAGTATTCATTAGAAACACAGTTCTTAACTTATGGTCATGGCTCAATGTTTGCCTTGCTATTCTTTTTTTTTGTTTTGCCCACAGGTGTGGAAACAGTAGCCTAGCAGCAGGCCGAATGCGTCATCAAGTAGCTTAGGTTCGGGCGAGCATCCCGGCCATGGGAACCTTCACTTCATCCACACCGCTTTAGTGGGGAACCTGGAATGGGGAACCTGCCTAGGCTTAATCTTGAGCGGCTGTGTTATCTGTGGTCCCTCCCCCCTTCCTTCCTTTAGTCAGTGTTAAGTGCTAGCTCTAACCCAAGCCCTGAGGTTCTGCCTGCAGGTATGAAGGGCAGTTAAGGCACTGAGCTGGGCCCTAGAAATCTGTGTGACAAGGGCTGTGTGACCCGGAGCAAGTCCCTTCCCCTCTCTGAACTGAAATAGACCAGGTTATCTGCAAGATCTCCTGAAACTTTGAAAGTCTACTGTGCAGCTCTATGCGGAGTCCCACAGGCACTGGCCTCACAAGAACCCTGTGAGGTAGGGACCTCATCACTGCCGCTCTACGGGTGCGGAAAGACCTGAGAGGTGAAGCAACACCCTCGGCCACAGAGCTGGCAGGTAGGGAGCTACAAGTCAACCTGAGCCTACCTGCCTCCCAGTCATATTCTTAAACATCAGGCCCATGTCCACACCGTGTGGCCCTGCGAGGCTCCTCCTGCCAGCTCCTTGCCCCCTACCTCAGCCTCATAAAGACCCTTGCAGGTGATTTGGATTTTTCAAAAACAGAAAACCCAAACCGACGGCTAGATAGCTCACTGCTTAGGTTTACCTGGAGAAGACACCCTCGCAAAAGAAAGACAAGCAGCCTCCTGTCCTTTCTACTGCTTTTGTCCCCGGGCAGGTCACTTAACTTCTCTGAGCTCAGTCTCTCCACCTGTGTGTGTAATGGGGACTGAGTCGCTCCCTGGGTTGTGGAGATGCATGTAAGCCATGGAAATCGCCTAAGCAGGCCAGGCCCCCAGCAGGCCCTTGACTGCACAGGGTGCTCTGCTGTGCCTCCATTATCGGCTCCACAAGCGAGACTCAGGAAGAAAACAAGAATGGCCTCAAGACAGCTCAGACCCACCCTACAGTGGAGAGCCTGGCAGACTGACCCTAACCAGCCAGAGCCACAGGGAGGAGGCCAGCCGACACTGTGCACCTCTTGACGCGATGAAGGGCCCACTATGGCCCGTGGCCTTGAGGCTCACAACCTGCCTCTAACCAAGGCTGTTCTCCAGGATAACTGGCTGTGACTCTGCAAAAATGTCAATGCCACAAAAACAAAAAAAGGACAGGGAATTGGACCAGATTAAAGGATGCACTGGTGGTTGAATGGTGGCCCCCAAAAGATATGTCTGCCCAGATTCTAGGAAAGTGACCTTGTTTGGAAAAATGGTCTTTGCAGATGCAATTAAATGAAGGAGCTTGAGATGAGATCATTTTGGATTATCCCAGTGGACTAATCCCAAGACAAGTGTCCCTGTTAAGACGGAGAAGAGGAGACCCAGAGAGGGCCATGTGAAGACAGGCAGAGACTAGAGTGCTGTGGTCACAAGCCAAAGATTGCTGGCAGCCATCAGAAGCCATAAGAGGTAAGAAGGACCCCTCCCCAGACTTCCAGAGAATGCAAACCTGCCAGCACCTTGATTTCAGACTCTAACCTCCAGAACTACGAGAGAAAAGGTTTCTGCTGCTTTATGCCACCTCATTTGTGGTAATTTACACAGCCCTAAGAGGCTCCCAGAAGCCAAAGAGAACTGAATGTAATGTGTGGTTTTGGATTAGATCCTGAACCAGGAAAACAAGTTATAAAGAACAACACTGAGACAACTGGTGAAACAGGAATAAAGGCCAGCGGATGAGACTATTGCATCGGATCAGTGTTACTTCCCTGAGTTGGCCATTGTTCTACATTCTATGGTTAGACAAAAGAATGTCCGTGTTCTTAGGAAATACACACTGAAGTATCTAAGAGCAAAGGGGCATCCTATCTGTAACTTACTATCATATAGTACAGTGTATCTCTCTCTCTCTCTCTCTCTCTCTCACACACACACACACACACACACACACAGAAGCAAATATACTAAATGTTAACACTTGGCCCACCTGGGTGAAGAGTATACAAGAACTCTACACATTCTTACAACTTTACTGCAAGTTTGAAATTATTTTAAAATAAAAAGTGGTGGGGGGAGTACATGCTAGGGGTTCAAATAACAAGGCTGAGAACCAAAAGTTCACGTAAAACACTGGTTCTCCAGTTAATAAAAGTCGTTTCACAGCTTGCTCACCCATCCTCTATAGTAAACCTCCCTGACTTTAGCTCTCTCAACAAATGGCCATGTACAGTCTTCTTATCATAATTCTACAAGTTCCCCTTTTTGCCTTGGCTTCTAGGAAGCTCAGAGCTAAGTTCCTCAGGCATTTCTGCTGCTTTTGTGGGCCTCTTAAGGGAAGCATATTCTGCAGAACAAAGACCTAGAAGTAGTCCCTGCCCTATTCAGGGCTAGGTGAGATGACCCTCACCTCTCAAGGTCCAGCCTCACTGCTCCCCTGCTTCCTGGAAGCCCTGCCAGGATTCCCCACCTTCTATCAACTCAGGGAGGGTGCTTCTGGGTAAGTGCCTGAATCCTGAGTTTTGGTGTTCTTGTCTATAGCACCCTGCTCACATCCCAGGAGAGCTGGGATATGAGATGAGATGGGAGGTGTCCAGGTCACAGAGGGGTCTATAAGCAGGGAATTGTGGGCACACATACACAGGCTTTTCCTGCCACCTTCATGAGCCCACTACCACACAGGAGAGGGAATATCCCAGCGAAGGAAGGGCAGAGTCACCAAGGTCCCACACTAGGCCTGTCCCCCGGCCCCCAAACCAGCCCAGCAGCCTGAAATGCCCCTGCTGCAACTGTGGTTACAGGCCCTTTGTTGGGCTCAGAACAACGTGCCTCCCTCCTGGCAGGGCCTTCAGACTCCATGTAGCTGAGGCCTCACCCCACAGGGCCCCTGGTCTGTAACCAATGGGTCTAAAAGCAAAGCCTACAGGCCTGGCCCAGCCCACCCCCTCCCCACTGTCCGGCCTGGGGCCACACGGCAGGGGTCTCTGGCTACCATCCACTTAACCAGCACCTACCGCAAGGACCATGCATTTCACCTATCCTGGCTGGCAGCCCTGGACTTTGGGGGTCAGGAGACCCAGGTTTGACCCCAACTCAGGACCTCAGGAGAGAGTCTTCACTTCTCCAGGCCCTAACCTTCCTCACATGCACGAGGACAGTCCACCTAAGGCTAGGGAGCAAATGAGGCTGGCAAAGGCTGTGTGCAGAGCACGCCACCAGCATCTGCAAGAGGCACAGCCGCAGAGGACAATTTCCACTCCCACCCTAGACCAGGTGCTGTCATTATCACCAAGCTTACAGATAAGGAAACTAAGGCCCAGAGAGGGTCTGTAACTTGCGGAGTCACACCAAAACCAATCCTCAGAGGACACTATCTTCCCTGTTGGTCAGAGAGGGTAAGTGACTTGTCTGTGGTCTTGTCATTAGTCAGGGTGCAGCCAGGATTCAGCCTCAGGCCTGTCTAGCTCTCCTGAGCCACTCCCACGAGAGGTGCCCTTGCAAAGCTCACAGCCCCAGTCACCCCTGCTCCACCGAAGTCCAATATCCTGCCTCCCTTAGGAAGGCCCCAGCCACCTAAACCAGGAGGCTATTCCACCCCCTTCCAACACTCACCATGGCTCCCCACTGTCTACACTCTAGGGCCCTACTATTTGGCTACTACTCTGCCCCCAAGCCCTCTCTCTCGCCTCATTCAACCAGCAGACTCCTATTCATCCTTCAGAGCCCAGCTCAAATGTCAAATCCTCCCTGACTGGCCCCTCCTGAGCTAATCAGGCCCTCCACAGACTTCTACAGCCCCTGCCCTTCTGGGTAAATTTCCTGGGAGTGAGGACTATTCTGATCAGTCCTCTGCTATAGGTCCCTCCCAGGTCAATCAGATAAGCCATATCCATGGAGAACATTGTATAGAGAACAAGTTGAGTGAAGTTACATTTGCAGGAAGTCACCACTGCAGGGAGGCCTGGAAATGAACTTAAGTGACTTAAGAGCCAACTGTAGTTATGTCTGGGGCTCCCTGGAGTTTTATTTTTCCCCAGCACAGCTGTTTAAGTGCAGAGCCATGTTCAATAACATCAGATCCCGGCTGCCACCGCTTGCTGCAGACTGCAAAGCGCCCCCCCGGCACTTCCTTACTGACCCACGGCAGCAGGAGCCAGGCCAACTGCATGCCGCACTCAACAAACGAGAAAACTGAGGCTCAGGGAGGCCCAAGGTGGAGCCTAGACTTCGGTTCCCAATTTTCTGCCACCCTGAATCTCTTGCCTGCCCCAGGCTCACAAACACAGGCCCATGCTGGTAAGTGCTGGGCTGTGAAAAAGATGCTCATGTCAACAGCTCTGAAGTTGAGTCCTAAACACTGGCCTTGGCCCTTGCTCAGATCTTTCAGATCCCAGGTGCCAGCCACGATGCCAGCCCTAGGCATGAAAGGCAGGGCCAGCTTCCCATGTGCAGTCGCTGTCAACACAGAACGGCAGACCCCAGAGCAGAAGCCCCAGGAGGGTGGGGGATCTGTGGGTCCCAGCACTGCTCTATCGCTAGCACTCAGAGCAGAGACAATAAATATTTGGAGATAAATTCGTGAAGGGACAACAAGTCCCAACCCCCAGTCTTTCTGACTCTTTTTATTTTGTCTGCAAGTTTCAGGAACCAGGGCAAGAGGCCAGATCCCTCCTGGGCGAGGGTGAGACACAGCCCGTCCTGTCTTAAAAACCCCCACAAAGCACAGGCCTAGGCGGGCTAGGATCCTGGCTTCCCAGCTCTTCTCTCCCGTTGGACACCTGCTTCCCAGTGGCGAGGTGGGGCGGGAGTCACTTTTGGAAAGAGCTGCTCGTGTGGGCAGCCGATAGATGCACCTTCCTTCTGCCCCACTGGCAAGTGAGGAGGGCCTTGCAGAGCAAGGCATGGCTGCTCTGGGTGTGTCCTCTCGCATAGCCCTCAAGCCTGGGAGGCAGGAGCGATTACCACCTCCATTTCAGGTCAGAAAACTGAGGTTCAGGTGACAGCAGCCATGATTTGAACCCAGGCATCTGGTTCAAGTCTGTGCCCTGAGCCACGGTACCACTCTGCCTTGCTGTGCGGGCTGACACTGGCTGCCAAGAGGGCAGACGTGGACTTTGTATATGTGCAAATTCCTACCGGGTGGGGGCAGCTCTCTCATTCATCCTTCAGGCCACAAACCTCAATGGGCAGAACTGCCAGGGCCTGTGCCAAATGCAGGGGACCACAGACTGAGGAGCTCAAGCCAGTGGGGGAGACAGGCATGGGCAGAGAAAAGGGGGCAGTGGAAAGGTGAAAGGTTCATCTCCAGAAAATTGGACGCTTTTCCAGATTCACAAGGGGTGGGAACACGCTCTTCCTATGGTTCAAGGGTGGACTGGGCTCTGCGCCCCTCTCAGTCCATGACCCCACTCACACCCCTGCAAGCAGAGTAAACAGGAGGCAGATGGCTGAGACCAAGGCCACACCCCAGCTGCGCTGCCACACACGCGCACACACTCAAGTACCTCACAATGGCCACCCAGGGGGTCTAGGGGGTAGCTGCCTCCCAGCCCTTGACCTGATGGCCCTACAAGCTGTGCTCTGCCCTCCCAGGGAATCCACCAGCTGCCTTTCCTCACTCCACTAACACAGGAGGAGAGGGAAACAGAAAAACGGGCTGCCAGAGTCCCAGGATGTCTCCGGTTCACCCCCAGTCCACCACCATAGCTGCCCCACAGGGCACCCTGCCCAGCTCCTCACTCCTTGCAATTCCCCACTGGGACCCTGGCATCCACACCACCCAGGTCAGGCCTGGGTGGGCAGGGGGACCTGCCAGGACCCCTCCCCACCTGGAAGGCCTGGCCCCTGCAGGTGCCAGTTCCCTGTGCTGAGGCTTACCTGCCTGTGCCCGCCTGACAGCTGTCCCGCTGGAATCTGAGTGTCCACCTCCCTCCTGGTCCCCTTCTCAGGAAGTGGGAGGAAGTGGGAAGGAGGGCAGGAAGTTCTGCAGCAGGGGCTCTCGGCTCAGAACTGTGGGGGAAGGAACCCAGGGGCAGGGGCAGGTGGACAGCCCGGCTGCCCTACACAGTGGAGGCACGGCTCTGCTTCCCAAGGGCCTGGGGGGCCTGGGCAAGGAGCTGCCAGGGGCCGTAGGAAAGCCTGGGACTTACCTCTAGCGGGGGCCCGTCTGAGCCCAGAGTCAGGGCCCACTGAGCACCCACAGCCGCACTGGGGACAGCTGGCCAAGCCTCCAGTGTCCTCCCAGGTGACTGGCGGGAAGTGCCAACCCCTCAGCTGGGCTCCCCGATGTGGGAGGAGGCCCCCTGGAGAGGCTGAATGTCCCAGATAAGACTCCTGGTGCCTGAAGCCCAAGCCGGCCTCCCACAGCCTGCGTGGAGCCCCTGGGCCAGGAAGCCTGGCTGCTATGGGTATTTTGGCCCAAATGGAGATCCCAGGAGTTCCCCCAAGAAAGGGGCAATTCCTGCCCACCCCTTGGACAGAGGAGGCAGCGAAGTTAGTAAAGGCCTCTTTGTGCTCAGACCGGGCCCTGCCCCGCACAGAAGGAAAGCGTACGGAGCAGCCTAGTGCAGGGAAGGCAGAGACAAATCCAGACACGCCCGACCAACACCAGCTAGAAGGTGAGACGCACCTGGGAAAACAGCAGGGGTGGAGGCCGGGCATTGAGCAATGACGGAGGAGGGCAGTTTCTGGGAACACAGTCAGGACCGAGGCTGGGTGATACCCACAAGCTCACCCTGGGCATGGCTGCCCCATGGTATGAATGTCCCCCAGAGTCCTGGCCTGGGCCACATGCTCATGAGCAAACACCTAGGCCAAGAGGCCTTTTGCCTCACCCCTGAGGAGCCGCACAGCCAGAGGGAGGAGGCAGGAGCCCCCTGAGTCCAGGCCCTGGGGAAGGGGAAGGTGGAGGTAGGGGTGGAGGCAAGAGGCTTTGGGCCTAATCCTCCAGTGCCAGCCCCTCCACCCTACACCAAGGGACCAGAGTGTGTGTGTGTCAGGGGGGCAGGGGGCTACCCTCTGGCTACAGCCCCAGCCCTAGTCCCACCAGGGTGGCTTTTGAGAAATCTGAGAGGGGAGGAGGGCCTGGAGGGAGGCCCTGGACCCACCCAAAAGTGACTTTGGAGCCCCACAAGTTCAGGCTCTGCCAGCTGTGAAACAGCGGCCAAGTCTGAGTGTCACTTCTTCATCTGTAAAATGGGCTAACAGCACCAAGCCTCAGTTTGTTGGGTTAACAGGAGAGCCAGAGCCTAGCTCCTGGCTGGCCCAACCCACTGAGAGAAGGGCGCAGTGGTCCTGGCTGTTGCTAAACAATTTGTAAAAACCCTGTGATGCAGCAACATCGACACATCGACACACATTCACACATATACACGCGCACACGTTCTTTTCTTTTTAACATATTTTAAAATTTTGTATACTGAGGTACATACAATAAAATGTACAAATCTTATGTATAGCTCCAACCATTTTGTCATGTGTGAACACTCATGTAACTATCACCCAGACCGAAATATCAAACCTTCTCACTGATTTCCCTTCACCTATTTCACTCAAGACCCCACCCTCCTCCCTGTGGCAACCACAAGTCTGTTCTCTGCGTGAGTCTATTTCGATTTAGTTGGTTCGTTTTGATTTTTAGATTCCACATGTGAGTGAGATCATACAGTATTTGTCTTTCTCTGTCTGACTTATTTCACTAAGTATAATACCCTCTAGGTCCCCCCATGTTGTGGCAAATGGCAAGGCTTCCTTCCTTGTTTATGGCTGAGTGATGTTCCACTGTATATGTACCATCGCTTCGTTTTTGGATGTACACCTAAGTTGCTTCCATATCTCGGCTGTTATAAGTAGCGCTGCCACAAGCATAGGGGTGCACCTACGATTTCATATTAGCAGTTTTCCTATGGTGACACACACACTTCCACCCCACATTCACATACTTGCAGCCACACGTCCTCCCACACACCTGCTCACTCGGTCCCTCCCACCCTCACCCACACACTGACTCTCCTACTCTCATGCACAGCCCACACACTTCACATCCACACTCACAAACTCACCTGTGTCCATGCACGCTCACATACATGCACACTCACACTTAGCTGGTCACACTCGCGTTTGCACACTCGCAGGCTCGCCTGCATACACACACCCGCGCTCGCATTCACACCGTCCCACTCCGTCACACGCCTGCTCACCCGCCCGCACGTTCACGCCGCTGCCCAGCTCGGCGCCGCCCCCGCACGCCCCTGGCAGGAGGGCTGGGTCCCGGCGGCCGAGGCCAGGCCGTGAGTCACCGGGCCTGCGGGGCACGTCCGCGGCGGGGCGGCGGCCGGGCCGGGCCGGGAGCCCCGCGCGCCCCGAGGCCGAGCCCCACGCCGCGCCCCGGCCCCGCGCTCGCCCCCGCCCCTCGCGGCCCGGTCCCAGGCGCGCCGCCGGAGCTGAGGCCTGGCGCCGGCGGTCGGCAGCGATGCCCCGGGCCCCACACCCGCCCGGCCCGCCGCGCCGGCGCCCCTTCCCGCCTACCGTGCTCAGCTGGGCGCCCATGGTGGCTCCGCGCCGCGCTCGCTCCTCCGCCGCCGGGAAAGTCGGGCCGCCGCGCCCCGGGCCCGCCCCCGCCGCGTCACCCCCGGAGGGCGGGCGATGGCCGCGCGGCCGGGCGGGGCGGAGGAGCTGGCCGCCCGCCCCACCGCCCCCTGCGCCCGGGAGGTGGGGGGACCCCGGGCGTCCGTCGGCGCGCGGAGACGGGGGCAGCTGCAGAGTCCCTGTACGACCCCGGGGCGCCGCTGGCCTTCCCTGGGCCTCGTTGCCACCGTAGAAGGAGGGAGGTGGCGCCCCCTTGTCGGGATCTCCAATAAAATCCGGAAGCTTCCCCAGGTCTCCCCGAACGGCGCACGCTGGGCCTCAGGGGCCGCCTAGTGCGGGACCCAGCCCGGCGCGGTGCCCCGCCCCCGGGCCTTTGAACACGCCCTTCCTCGCCTGGAGCGCTATCCCGACTGCCCCAGGGCAGCCCTTGCTTATTTCCAGGTGGCAGGTCGGCTGTTCTCTCGCCCGCGGAGGTCTCCTGAGCCCCTCACGGCAGCCCCTGTGGTCTTCCTAGCACTTAGCATGGAGCTGAAGGCGTCCCGTGTGTCTGCGTCCAGCGCCACCCCTCCAGGTGGCCTGTGGGCTCCCTGAGGGTAGGCCTCTGCTACAAGTCCCCTGCATGCCTGCACCTAGCACAGAGCCTAACATACAGTAGGTGCTCAAGAAATACTTGTTCACTCGAGTGAATTCAACAGACACTGCCTCCTTTGTGCAGGCCCATGCTGGGCCCAGGGGTGCTTTCTGGCCTTGCCTTTCTGGAAAGCTCTTAGACTCCTTGTACTCTGACCCACCAGCCTGCCGTGGGCAGAGTGTCCTGCAGTGTGATGCCAGCCAGGCCGGAACAGCTGGGAAGGTCCTGGAGGTGGAAACAAGGTGGACAGACAGGGTCAGCAAGGCCAGGGTGACTGGTGCATCCAGAACTGCAGGCACAATGTGTGATGTGAGGTCACCCACTGGGACCTGGGGGATATGCGGAGCCCTGGAGGATTTAGGCAGGTGGTGGTGGGGAGGATCAGCTAGTTTTAAAAGAGAACAGGGGACAGCGTGGAGAGAGGGACAGAAAGAGGGGTCTACTACCAGATTATAAGGCTAAATGTGACAGCAGATCAGATCAGTTAGGTATTACTTCAGCTTTAACTATGACAATTTTAATATTACAAAGGAAGTAATCAAGTCAGGAAGCTTGACTTCAGGGTGTGCAACCAGTAACCTCCCGTGGCTGGGTGCTTCCTGGGCAGTGTGCTTCTCCACGGATACCTTCCATGCCGGCAGGAGAGCAGATAACCCCCTGCCTCATTTCCCTCCATCGCTTCTGTTTTTCTTCATGTTCTTTATCATTCCTGGATTGATAATTATCATGAATGTGGACCTGTGATGCTGGACTTTCTTCCGCTTACGAAACCTGGAGGTGACCAAGTTGGCTTTTTCCTTTTAACCATCCTCACCGGCTGTGAAGAATTTCCACACAAGACTTTTCCTGGAAAGACTCATCACCTAAATGGCATTAAGTCAACTAAACGTACTTACTGTTGAGAATAAGGCTATAAGTGCTAGTCCAGCAAATAATCCTGCAAAATCAGAATTAGGATGGAATCTTTCTGCCTTGTATTTCTATTTAAATTATTATATTCATTTGTAGAATCAAAAAGGAAATATCTTTCCTCCTAAAGTTATGCTATTACTGCTTCTCTTAAGTTTTTATTAACTGTCCATTTCTTTCTTACCTATTTGAGAACCTCTTCATACTTGTTTCTGTACATAAAATTAACATCATTAATAATTAACATAAACTACTGAAGCATTTTACCCTTGCTGTAACAAAGCCTGTCTGTGTTTACACCTCAACCCTGTGACACATGTCAGTGTATAAAGCACAAAGGAGATTTCACTCCTGGTTACATCTGGAAGCTTCCCTAACAAGTAGTCCGCCTGCCAGGCCTGGCCTCACGCTGGTATTGGCTCCTGCTTGGCTGTGTGACCACAGTCCGTGGCCACAGTTGGGAGGCCAAACCTGGTGCAGAAGTGGACAAAGGCTGAAACTGAAGCCAAATCTGGGGTGGATTTTGTCTGCTTGGGGTACCCTCAAGTCAGGACGTTTGCTTATGATCTCTGGACTGTGATGACACCCACGTCACCAAAGACCCCTTGGCTTTTTATTTGGAAAACTGTCCAACATACAGCGAAGTTGCAGGAATACACAATGAACCATCGGATTCACCAACTGCTATCAGCTGACACCCCCTTCCTGTTTGCTTTTGCTGAACCACAGAGAGTCCGCTGCAGATGTGAACCTTTCCCTCTAAACACTTCACCACATACCTCCTAAGAATAAGGCCATTCTCCTCCAGGCCGCTGTCCGATGATCAAATTCAGATACTTAACACTGATGTGATGTTATTATCTAACACCCGGGCCACATTCCACCTGTGCCAGTTGCCCCCGTCATGTCCTTCCTAACTGTGGTTTGCTCTGACCCGAGCTTGAATCCCAGCTCGAGCATCGTGTTCACTTGGCAGATCTCTCTAGTCTCCTTTACTGCAGACAGATTGAATCAGAGGGTGGGTGAGGGGCTGGCCCCCTGTTGTCACCTGCCAGCTCTCTCGGTGGTAAAGGTAACTTTACTTTGATGCTGGGTGATTGTCCGAACTCCTAACGAACCTTCTTCCATCTGTTAATGATCCTTGCCTGGATCAATTATCATTGAGGTGGTTTAACCAATTCACAAGATGCTTTGGGGAAAAAAAAGATCTTTCAGATCATTCCTCAGGGTTCTCCTTCATGCCGAAGAACAGAAATTCCCCACAGGCCCCTTGGCCTTCTGTGCGTGTGTTCTGTCAGCTGAGAACCCCCTAGTCCACTCGGATGTTTGATCCTTGGGAGAGGCTGGGAGGCCGGGCAGAGGAATCATTAGTTTCATGTCGTAGAGGAGGAAGCAGGTCCGGAGGGTCGGTGGGGGGCGGAGAAGAGGTCCTCCCGGCGAGTCTCCGGGCTGCAGCCCCTTCCTGGCCAGGGCAGGAGTTTGGAAGGAGGCCTGCAGGCTGACTGCAGGGCAGGATTTCAGGGTCCAGGCTAGAACTGCCCAACTCCTGGCAGCCCCCTGGTCCCCATGACCTGTGTAGGACCTACACTGCCAGATTTAACAGATAAAAATAAGGGATGCCCAGTTAAATCTGAATTTCAGATAAACAATGAATAGTTTTTCAGTATAGGTATGTCCCACATACTGCACTTAAACATACTTATTCTAAAAAATTATACTAAAACCTTACAATGTTTGGGGTATTTGGACTGACAGTAGGGTTGCCAGGTAAAATATAGGACACTCAGTTTTATTTTATTTTCAGGGAAACAGTGAATAATTTTTTCCACCCAGATGTGGGGAATTAAGACACTTGTGGCAGATTTTATCACATCTAAGAAATGAGGCTGGTGAAGTCAGTGGGCCTTGACTGCTGAGACAGCCTTGACTTCTGAGAGTAGCCTGATAGCCTGGAAGAAGGGACTTAAGTTTGGAGTTCTAGAAAGCTCCCTCTGGCTATAGGGGTGAGGAATGTGGGCAGAGGGGAGCAAGACTAAAGGCCAGGGGCTAATCAGAGGATTAAAAGGCACTCAGGAGGCACACACGGGGGCTGAGCCCCACCAGCTGGGGAGGGTGGGTGGAGGCTCCTGGTATGGCAGAGGGCAGGTTTGGGGGACTTTGGGGAAAGCCTGGGAGGCAGTGCAGTCGAGCACCTTAAGTCGGAAGGGGCTGGGCCCAAGGAGAGGGTGGCCCTGGGAAGGAGGGTACAGAGGTTGGGGCGGGAATATGCAGTGACCACCTAGGAAGCCTTTCTGCCCAAATCCCTCCCCAACCTCATTACTTCTGTAGGAGTTGCTGGCTGAATTTCTGGCCGGGGGTCTCCCTGCACCCAGAGCAGGGAAGCTAGAACAGTGAGACCACTCACCCGCCCCAGCCCTGGCCCGGTGTCTGGGAGGCCTGTGAAATGATTTGTTAGGAGCTTTCGTATTATTCTCTGCAGGTATTTGCAATTTGAAGAGAGAACTTATTGAAAACAAACACAAACGTGTTGGCAAAACTGGACAGCTACATATAAGAGAATGAAACTGGATTATTGCCTAACCCCATACACAAAAGTAAACCCAAAATGGATCAAAGACCTGAAGGTAAGTCATGAAACAATAAAACTATTAGGAAAAAACAGGCAAAAATCTCTTGGACATAAACATGAGCAACTTTAGATTACAAGGCTAAATGTGACAGCAGATCAGATCAGTTAGGTATTACTTCAGCTTTAACGATGACAATTTTAATATTACAAAGGAAGTAATCAAGTCAGGAAGCTTGACTTCAGGATGTGCAACCAGTAACCTCCCGTGGCTGGGTGCTTCCTGGGCAGTGTGCTTCTCCACGGATACCTTCCATGCCGGCAGGAGAGCAGATAACCCCCTGCCTCATTTCCCTCCATCGCTTCTGTTTTTCTTCATGTTCTTTATCATTCCTGGATTGATAATTATCATGAATGTGGACCTGTGATGCTGGACTTTCTTCCGCTTACGAAACCTGGAGGTGACCAAGTTGGCTTTTTCCTTTTAACCATCCTCACCGGCTGTGAAGAATTTCCACACAAGACTTTTCCTGGAAAGACTCATCACCTAAATGGCATTAAGTCAACTAAATGTACTTACTGTTGAGAATAAGGCTATAAGTGCTAGTCCAGCAAATAATCCTGCAAAATCAGAATTAGGATGGAATCTTTCTGCCTTGTATTTCTATTTAAATTATTATATTCATTTGTAGAATCAAAAAGGAAATATCTTTCCTCCTAAAGTTATGCTATTACTGCTTCTCTTAAGTTTTTATTAACTGTCCATTTCTTTCTTACCTATTTGAGAACCTCTTCATACTTGTTTCTGTACATAAAATTAACATCATTAATAATTAACATAAACTACTGAAGCATTTTACCCTTGCTGTAACAAAGCCTGTCTGTGTTTACACCTCAACCCTGTGACACATGTCAGTGTATAAAGCACAAAGGAGATTTCACTCCTGGTTACATCTGGAAGCTTCCCTAACAAGTAGTCCGCCTGCCAGGCCTGGCCTCACGCTGGTATTGGCTCCTGCTTGGCTGTGTGACCACAGTCCGTGGCCACAGTTGGGAGGCCAAACCTGGTGCAGAAGTGGACAAAGGCTGAAACTGAAGCCAAATCTGGGGTGGATTTTGTCTGCTTGGGGTACCCTCAAGTCAGGACGTTTGCTTATGATCTCTGGACTGTGATGACACCCACGTCACCAAAGACCCC